AAATGGTAGGAAAAAATCCGGGAAAATGCCGCCACTATACCACACTACGGTATAGTATATACGGTTCTAGTACGATAGCCGGAAGAAGTCTCAAAGTTCACATGCACTACGTGTCCATCAACTAACCATCTGTTGAACGGCATAAAATCTGCCAGCCACAAATCCCCCCTTTTCGGTGAGGCTCGCTGCCGCGCCGCACCAAAGGTCGCCCCGAGAGCCACCGTACAGGTACGGTCAATAGCTAGCTCCAGACCTGCATGATCGCAGTCATGAGGCTTTGCCGTCCGAACAAGAATTGCCGTCCGATCGCGAGCAGCGCGCGCAGATTCACTGAGTCGTCAATCAGTCCCCGAGCCTGTTTGCCTCGTGTCACTGGAATGGACACCTCACCGTCCGATTAGCTTCAGGCGGTTGCAAGATATGAAAAAGGCGGGCCCTGACTCGGCTGTCTACCTTCTACTGACTACACTGACTAGCTCGGCAGGGATGGTGCAAGTTCTTGGGAGCTTCCGTCTGAGTCGGCACTTTAGAGGCTTATAGCAGATTCTAGAAGAGAAAAGAAATCCACGTAAACAGTTTCAGAGCAAAGAGAGGTTCTTGCACAAGACGTTCAACTGGTCTGGCTGCTCGCCGAACGTGGAATAATAACCAGATCACTCTCTTCCTTCATTTATTCCAGACTTGAGCTCCTCAAGCTCAGAGCTTCAGAAACCTCTCAGTTTTTGGCAAACATGGCTTGATCAGCGCCTTCAAGCCCGTGTACATGTCGCCCATGCCTGCCTGGCGCGCTGGCAGCAATTTCAGGCTGTAAATACTGTCTTGTTGAGAGCCGCAGACCTTGTGCTTACAAGAGCTGATGTTGAGGTCAGCCATTGGCTGCTAGCACAAGCACTTTGCAGCAACTTCCAGGAGAGCTTCCGTGACCTCTGACCTGCACCTCGTTTGAAAGAGGTGAGTGCGCTTCTTTGCACGAGTTCCGATCATGGTCAAGGTCTTTGAACCACACGCGCCAAACGGGGTCCAAGCTATTCTGGATTCTATCAACCCTAGCTGGCTGGGTCAACCTTGACTGGCCGCACACATGTTGAGCTAGCCAGCAGGTATAGGTCTGAGCTTGGGAGATGCCCGGGAGATGTTTGGAGCTGGTGTGGATCACTGGTTCTCTGCGTTGCCAGTGGTCTGTATCTAGATTTGCCCAATGCTGCAAGGGATGATGCATGTGAGTGTTGGGTTCGAAAATGGCAACAGAACATGCACTGCACATCATTGCTGATCTGACGTGCTTCTCAGCGCACACTTTTTCTTAAACGTCTGTGATGACGATTTTCAAAAGACCTAGAGGCCCTGCTAGTTTCTCAGTGCGCCTGCCATTTCCGGTTGCTCACCTCTGATGAAGTGAACACTATAGGTGTCTAAGCTGGCCTGCCAGCATGCAAGCATCGACGATGCATGTCCTTCTATCTCGCTCATGCTTGGTGTTAACATGTATCTTCCTTATTCAACTCTTATTGGTTGGCAGACCCTTCTGAACTCACCTTGCAGTGTGCTTCTTGCAAGTTCATGTGCTGGACCTCATTGAATGCTCAGAGGCTTTCGAACTTTTTGTGCAAATTTCGCCGGCATACAAGGCCAAAGCCGTCATTGGTGGACTCAACAACGAGAACGGTTCTTGTGAGTAGCTAAAGCACTCTTCCTGGTAGCCTAGAGTTTCAGGTAGGGTCTGAACAAGTCATAGTACATGCAGCTCATCTGTCCACGTTGTCTTCATTGTCAAGATCTGGCCTCTAAGTAATCTGATAAGTGACCAGATGAGTGACCAGTTATCCACTCAAAGCACATAACTTAGAATAGAAGAGGCTTCTCATCAGATTGACAAAGTGCTTGAGCTGGCTGCTGATCAGCACTCCGAGCAAAGTCCAATCGTCCAGGCTGTCCAAGGCGTCCGAGCTGTGGGCTAACTCTTCTTGATTGTCTGGAATACTGACGTCAGCAATTGCTAGCTAGCTCAGTTCGAGTTTGGCTTGAAAAGATTCTGGACATACCAAGTGCTGACGTCATAATTCAATCCACCAAGCCCGCAAGCCCGCGACTCATGCGCAGCTGGGCGCTCAACCCTCACAAAGCAATTGTGGCACGTCGAATAAGCAATCATTGCCTATTAATTCCACTCTGCAGCAAACTCGTTTGTCCACCTCGAGCAAACTGAGTCGAGCTTTTTCGAGGAACCGAACATGACAGGGCGCCTCACGTAAGCGTCACTGTTTAATGTATGCAGCAATACTCTTGACAATCAGTGGTAGCGTCAAGCGGCCACCCGGGGTCCGCTTCATTGATCGGAGTGGACAGCGCAAGTCCAGCCTCAGCCTCGGCCCCACCTTCGGCTGCAAATGCCCTCGAGTGATAGAACGACTATGGACAGCGGAGAAGGAGACTTGAGAACGGAGGTGAGCCAATACTCTAATCTGCGAGGCTGCGTGCAAGCTGTTTCGAATTGGCGATGCGAGTGGCAACTCAGAATCTCTGAACTGACATTGTTAGTAGCTGTTGGAAGTTGCTTACAAGCTGTGTGCGCGCAAGGTGCAGGATTCATGTGGGCAAGATATAAGGCACCTGAATACACCAACAGTAGAGAGCTTAGGCAGGGTTTCAAACCCCGGCGGAACAGGCTGCAGCAAGGGCACTAGCTGGCTGCCGTTTGGCATCCGATCAGATTGTTGATTGTGAGCAGATTTTTCCAAGTCTTTAAGACAGTCTGATCAGATCTGACGTTGGTTGCGTGCAACTCTGACTTACGAATCAACATTTTGGCCGCTAAGCTGGTTGTGATCAATATTCGAAAGGCAATTGGGCGCGCATCAGATTCTCGATGAATGTCCCACTGGTTGAAGGCTTTTTCAATCCACCTGGACAGGGAGATTTTGCAGTCTGGAGCATACTGTATTGCAACCCTCTGGACTCCGTTTTTCCGAGAGGATTTTATAGTTGGCTTGCGAAAAGTACAATCCAAAGCGTATCAACGCGTAGCAGACTGTTTTCAGACGAGACAGAGCTTCTAAAACCCCGGACTGGAAGTAGGGCCGAAGTGCATTGCCACGGTGGTCCGCGAAAGAGACTTCTAATCTTTCAGAAGAAACTTTTATGCACACTCAGGCGTTCATCTTGATCGATTGTGTCTTCTCTCTTTTCTATCAGGAGAATGGCAATACGAGCATTGAAGCAGACTCCGACGGAGAGGACATAGAGGACGTGGAGTTCAATCGCGAGGAAGAGTCTTCCGACGAGGAGACCTCGCAAGACCGCCGGTTTCTGGATGATTCATCGCAACCTCCCATTGCCCCGGTCTCAGAATACGCTCGGACGGACGCGGAGCTTGGGCAATCGGACACGGAGTCGCAGGTTCGATTCCAGGGGGGGCGCAAGCGCACCAAACGCGTAGATGACAGCGATGAGAGCGCAGAGCCCCCGCCCTTCAGGACAGGCCGTCGTAGAGTCACGATGCCGTCCGACTCGTCATCCTCGTCTGACGAGGGCGTGCAAGCGGCAGGTGAAGCCACTGAGTCGAGCCCTGAGGTCAGAGACCAGTCTGCCACGTCGAGCGAGTGGGGCGACCGTCCTGATTACGACGATCCTACGTGGGACTGGGACGATGAGGGTGATTCTGAGGAGCTGCGCGAGTTCTTTGGGGTCTGCCGCATCGATCTCGGGTTCGAGCGCGATTGGACGGAGTTGGAACAGGTACGCCCGCTCTCTGCAATTGAAAGTTTTGCTTGCTATATCTGAAAGTTGTTCAAGCTGTACCTTTTAGCGCTCCCTTTCAAGAGTGTAGACCCGGAATCATCAACCGACCGCAAACAGGTTGTCTAAGTGTCCAAGGTTTTGCCAAAGTTTTCTGGGGGGACTTTTTGCTGACGTCATCGCACCAGTTTCTCGACGACACGTCAACAAAGTCTGAACAATGAGACAATTCAGATACCCGCCTCAGTTTCTGATGCTCCCGTCACTTTCTTCAGAAGACAACCTAGGCTCGATACACTGTCCACATGTCCAAGGTTTTACCAAAGTTTTTGGGGGAATTTTCTGCTGACGTCATCGCCCCAGTTCCTAGACGACTCTTCTACAGAGTCCGGCCAACCGGACGGTCCATAATCTGCTGAAAGCTTTGGCGTTCCTGTGCTTTCGACACTTCCCTTGAGAGACAAGGCTCGATACAAGTGTGTCCACGTGTCCAAGCTTTTGCCAAACTTTTCTGGTGGGAACGTCTGCTGACGTCACCTTGTCTTCCGATGAGGCACATGCTTGAGTGCAAGAACTCGGCTTGATAAGGGTAGGCTGATCTAAAATCCTTATGTTTCCTTTGCAGGGACCGAGCCCGGCTGTTGAGGCCCCTATATCGACGATCGACCCCGTCCTGGCCGCCGCTCATCATTTCCACAGCCTCGGCGTTGTGACCGTCACCCACGACCTCTTCGTGAAGAAGTTTTCAAACGGTCAAGTCCGGAAGCAGCCATGCAATTGGGCCTCTGACAAGTCTTGGAAGGAGGCAAACCTCGGCAACTGCCTCCAAGAGTTCGCCAAGCCTGGGCGCAACTCCATCGCCATCGTCATGGAGCAGTCTGACATCTATGCGCTCGACGTGGACGTCAAGGACGGGGGCTTTGAGGCGCTGGAACGAATGGTCACGGAGAACGACGTTTTTCCGGACGACACGCCCCACGTAATCACCGGCAACGGGGGGCTGCACCTTCTCTTTTTCTTGTCTAAATTTGAGGAGGCTGGCCTGCTGAACTCCAGCAACGGGGCCAGAATTCCGTACTCGGGCGAAGCGGTGGGCATCGACGTACGTGGTAGGGGCGGAATGCTGTACACCGCTCCCAGCAGCTACAAGGGCCTTGATGGCACGCGTCGGAGCTACGAGTGGAAGGAGGAGATTCTGCCCGACCGCTCTAATCTTCGGGCCGTTCCAGACTGGCTCATCCGCATCTTGAACGGCAGCGGCGAAGCGCCAAGCGGACGTGGGCGGATGGCTCGGGATGGGGATGGGGCCCGGTACGTGTGACTTGATGCTTTTTTCATTCTGCGTCAGACGGATGTTTGATACGAGAAATTGATTGATTCGGCATGTGGTTTTAGTTGGTAGAGCTGACTGAGCATGTCCTAGTTGTCCATGCTTCAGCGCACCTTTTTGGTGTCTTGAAGAAGTGACGTCACCAAATTAGGCGATTGAAAAGCATCATTTATCTCACCTCTCCACGCTTCTATAGATTTGGGAGGGTTAGCAAGACCGTTGAAATGTTGTTCGAGCCGCTGGAAATATCTCATTGATTGTTGCAGTCCTCTGCACCCGCCTCCACTTGCAGGGTATCAATCGATGATGGCCACTAGACCTTGTGAACTGGCTACCAGTGGCGCACATGCCACGCTCCTCTGATTGGAAATTCGGGTCCGTATGATGGGTTTCAAGCGCACTGCCCGATCTGGCTTCTGCCAAAGACTCGATGTCTCTCGCTCTTTGTTCACAAAGTCTACTTCTGATCCGTTCTTTTAAGGTGCTAGCAACTACAATCGAGTTTTCCGGGATTCTGACAACAAAGCGCCTTGCTTTTATGCAGTGAGCCGCAGGGTGTACCGTTTGGACCTCCTCGTCCGATCGAAGACCCTCAGCTGGCTCCCCCAGCAGCAGTCCTGGAGCGCGTCAAAGCCTGTGTGGCTTCCACTGGCGACACCGCCTCCCGGTTCGATCGCCTCAAGATGGGCGACAGCGGGCCAATCTACGTCTTTCGAGTGGCTGGGCCCCGACGCTGCCCGTACGGCAATCACCACGACGGTTCCAACAACTTCTCCGTGCTCGTGCGCAAGAGAGACGTGCTCTATTGCTGCAACAGCTCGGAGTGCCAGGGGGTACGACCCTTGCTCAAGATCGGAGAGCTCACGCGCTCGGAGGCGGTGGGTGGAGGCGAGATTCGGGCTTTTAGTGCTGCCGACGCCAGCGCGATCAACGGCCTGCACAAGAGATTCGTGGACGCCTGGGCCTTCAAGGGAGACGTAGGCGGCAGCAAGATCGTCGCTGAGATGTACGCAAGCTGCAGCAGGTGAGAATTCTACGAGATCTTGCATGAAAAGTCACTTTGGATCTTTCTGATCGTCGACGGCTCTTTCTGGACACTTGGACAGTATGCGGCAGCCTTGGATCGATACTCTGGTACTGCTCTGTTAGCGGTGAAGTGTGTTCTTGGCTGCTTGAAGCATTCACACTTAGCCAAGGGGCTTGGGGAGCCTCTGCAATAATGTCTAGGGTTGCGAGAATTGTTCAGCAGAGGGTGCGAGCAGCTGACATTATCATGATTCATCATCCCGTCTTGGCGTCTTTGTCTAGGTGTCCAAAGTTAGATTCTAGCAATCCTCAGATCTGCTTGGACACATAGGCTGCCATTCGAGAAGCTTCCATCTTAGCCGGTGTGTCCAAGTGTCCAAGGTCTACCACGAACTTTTTCGCGACCATCGATTGCCGACGTCATCAGATTGGAGCCAGTCTCGGTGTGTCTAGCTGTCCAGAGTCTGTGACAAACTTTCCGTGGCCGCCGAGTGCAGGTCTACGTCATCATTGTGCTTTGCTCTGCTGGAAACACTTATGGCCAATCTGAACCGTTTGGACACTGGAGAACGCGAAAGAAATAGACCTTTTACGAACCCTGGTCGAGGCTCGTGTGAATCAAGATCTCGCTTATGTCAGCACTTAGATCGTTCATTTGCCCTTCTGCAGGCTGCGTTTTGATGGAGAAAGCTGGTGGTATTGAAATGGGAGGCGCTTCGTACGCTACAAGAAGAGCGTCTTCTATGTGAAGAGCGTGCTTATCAATCAGCTCAGGACTGTCTATGCGCGAGTGAGGGACGAGTGGAAGGTATCTATCGAGAGAACCACTGTCGAGAAGGAGCAAGAGGCGTTAATGGAGCAGCTTAAGCGCCTGCGCACCTACACAACAGCCGAGAGATCAGCAGTACGCTGGACCTCCTCCGCGGGGAGTTGGTCGATTTCGACTTTGCTCAGCAGCTGGATGCAGATCCAGACATCTTGAACGTGAAGAATGGAGTGCTCCTTCTGAGGACCGGCGAGCTCGATGTGCACCGGCCCCAGTACATGTGCTCCAAGATTGCGGAGACGGACTTCATGGTAAGCTTCCTATGCTGATTCAAGGAAAACTGAGCAACTTGCTTCATTGACTAGCTGACACGTTACGAGAGCTGGCGGACTGTTCATGGAAGTTGCACCAGTATGAATCTATTCAGTTCTAGGTTCACTTGATCTCAACATCGAGAACTGTGCTTTTTCACTGTCGGAGACGTCGGATCTGACAGTGTAGCAAAGGACTGAATCTATCGGTGGCCCTGCATATCGCCCCCCTGCCGATTGACACATTGGTCGCATCCTTGCCAGAGGGTTCTACAAGTCAGTTTCGAGCTTTAAGCCACAAGGAAAACTTCTGCTCCTCTTCGGTGGGACCGCTTCAACACTCACCCATTGCTAATACCTCAACCTGATCTTGTTCCTTGATCATTCTGCAGGAAATGGAAAGGGTGCCCTGAAGGAGATGCCGCAGGCCGTGATCGGTGATTACTACGGCACTATGTCTAAGGACGCGGTCGTCACGGCTCCTGGCCAAAAGGCCTCCTCTAAGAACGCGCCTACAAACCACATCTACGAGCCGATGGGCGTGCCGCTTGCCGTCACTGACGAGACGGCGGAGAAGGAGCAGGTGGACCTGGATCTCGTCCTGGCGATGACAGGGGGCGGCACAATAGAAGCGCGGTGCCTCTACTCCAACAACGTCGAGTTCGCCATCACGCACACACCGTTCGTGCAGACAAACTACCCTCCTGCAGTCTCTGCAACAGCGATCAAGGGCAACGTCGTGCGCCGAGTGCGAGCGATCCCGTTTTCCAGCACATACGTCGGTGCAAACGCTTTCGACCCCACAAACGCAACCCACCGCCTGAGAGACGACCACTTGAAGGAACGCATGAAGGAAGAGGAGTCGCGTCGGCAGATTCTTTCTTGGTTAGCTCGCGGCTCGGAGGAGTGGTACGCGAGTGCAGACGGCCTTGGTTCCCCACCATAGGCCGTACAGGATGCAACGGACGAGTACCTGCGGGAGGCGGACAAACTCCAGTTGTTCATCGACCAACATTGCGAGGTCGGAGAAGGATTGTCGACACTGCAGGCTGCGTTCGCAGCCTGCTATGGGCAGTTCTCCTCCGAGAGGATCTCCTATGAAGAGTTGAAGAAAAGGATGGATACGAAGGGATTCAAGAGGGCCAAGAACAATGATTCGCCACGGCAGTTTTACTATCCGGGAATAAGGTGCTCTTACACTACTTGATACGGTTCGTTGCTTGCATAGCATAACAAACATGGTAATGACAAAGTGACTGCAATTCATACGTCCGACGAGCTCCACATCATTTTGATTAAATTGAAACGGATCTGGTGCATGCTCGTCGGATCTATAATCTGCTCTTGTCGAATTTAGTGTGTGTGTTGACAGTACTTGTATTTTCAAGGCTTAACAACCACGATTGCATTTAACGATTTCCATGTGATGATGTTATCAACAAATGTGTTGGTCGAAAGTTTTGCTTGGATCGATGGATGACGTCAGCAATGAGCGACCGCAAAAAGTTGGTGCCAGACCTTGGACACTTGGACACGGCGGCGAGACATGCATGGCGGCGAGATACGCCCGCGCCGTTGCTGTTGCTCATTGAGGTCGTCTCTTGACTTTTGCAGTTAGTGCGCGGAAGGAGGCGGAGTTACAGAAAGCGCTGCAAGAAGCAGGGCTGAACTTGATAACAGGAACGTCGCCGCTAGCACGCTACAATCCTCCGTTCATCCCAGACTTCCTCAGGACGAACGAAGTTTTCCTCCCTGTCGAGTACGGGCTTCTTGTCCAGCCGTGATTAGCATTAGCATTTCTATCAGGGAGCGAACGAGGTAAAGGATGCGCTTCATAGATCGGCGTACGTGATTTGAGTGGCTGGCCGCATCTTCAAGGGAGTTGATCGGGCAGAACTGCCGCCTGTTGCCTCCTTCAACAGCATCGGCTATGTTGGAAGCTTTTGCGATCGACCTGTGCTCACGTTTACTTACAGGGTGCAAGTGCAGATTGTGTAAATAGCTTCTGGCCACGAGTCTAGATTTTGTCGATACATTGGCTGGCCGAGTAAACAGATTGCTCTTCCTGCAGAGATGGTGTACGACTCTTCTGATGTTGACTGACAGGGTCCACTCGCTCATTCGCGTTCGATCTTATCAGCTGTGCACACGATCTGTCGGTATACGTTGTATGAACTTGAAGTGGTCGACTCCTTTGCAAGACAACCCTTTTGTCTGGCTCATGCGATACATTGATCCTTTGAAGGATCCGGATCATCGTACGTCAGCCAGTGCACAAGCAACTGGCATGCATGAATATGGTCTACTTGTCTCGCGAGCTAGGGCAATATATGTTCTTTCCAGTGGCATCATGCGTACGTCTTCCAGGTTGGAAACTCAGACGGCGGCTGATTGCATGCATGAAGAGTGGCGACGATTGTTCGAAAGCCGAGGAAACTCGCTCGTGCGCCAGCTAAATGCAATATACATGAGCGCTCGCACATGTTTTGCAATGTTGTATACACCAACTTGTGTCGAGATTTGTACGCTCCACTTGGGCCCAAGCTTTCCTCCATCAAGTTCCACCTCTTTAAGGCCAACAAAGTGCTCGAGCAGCCATTGATGCTCCCATGTAAAGTTGATCCAGACTGGTCCTATCAATATGCGGATGTAAATGTCCAGAAGCAGCATCCGTGGCAGTCTCAAGCTGATCTCTTAGCAATGTCCAGTAGGACTGACTTTTGCTCCATTGGATCGGAGCAACTGGCTCGAGCTCTGACATGTCTATCATCGTATACTTTGCAGATCTATGTCCCTTGCATCACTCAGGTTTCAAACTGTTGCCCGTGTTTCCGGATGCCGAACTCGAGTTCTCAGCGGCCTGCACAGCAGACGGATGTTTAAGAAAACCGCTGCTTGGGAGGATGAGTGCAGATCGCAAAAAAGGACGCATGTTGGCCATATTGTTCATAAAAGGGACTCGATTACCAAAGCGAATCCCAGACTTTTAGTCCTACGACCAAGATAGATAAGTGTAAATGAAAAAAATTGACTGGACTGGGGACGTACTTGCGGACACCATGATCCGTCTTAGATAGTCCACAAAGGACCGCCAGGCGTTGGTTCTTGAAGGATCTATGAAGAGCTTTTGGACAGTGGCCCAGGGGCGCCTGGTCAGCAACCTGGCCTGGTTAGTCGTGCTGTGAAAAATTGCATTTCGGAGTGCCCTAAGGTAGATCCGGATCAAGATCTCTTGATCCCCATCGGACAGCGGTTGGTTGTTCTGCAACATCCTCGTCAAGGTCTGGAGAGCCAACTTGGCCACGGGAGTTCCATTGCGGGAATAGCGGTTGGCAGGGTGCAGAAAAGCTGCCGCGAGCTTCTTGGCCAGGAGCTCTTCATTAGTGTCAGACGCATTATATAAGAGACTCACAGCCTTATTCGCCATGCTCGCTTGCATGATCTGCTCTACAATCTGAAGTCCTTGCAGATAAGATACAGGCGCTGCCCCAGCAGCTTCCTCCCAAAACGCTGACATGCGCAGATCTCTAGAAAGGGTCCACTTGAAGCGTGAGTCGACCACCATCTCTTCATAGGTTCCCCCCAGTGCGTACATATCGAACAGATCGATGAGCAGACTAGCATCTTCCTTCCACTTATTAGTCATTCCCTGCATTTCAAATCTTGCATAAGCACTAAATGCTCTTCCTTTGGGTGAAGCTTTCATGATTACAGCCACACTGGGTTGATCAACCAGACAATCCATCACCAAGAAAAGAAAGGACTGAAGAACGTCATATTGCGAGTCAAGCACACGCACCTTTGGGTCAAAGTCCCCCAAGAAATGGAAGAGGGATCCAAGGAAGGAGAGCGGGGAAGGGTCAGCCTGCAGCGAGACAAGACTGTCAGTGAATTCGACGGATCTTCTCTCTTCATACAAGTAATCAATGATCGATCATCATTCAAGACTTCAAAGAGACAGCAACAGACGGCAGAAGCTCACCTCTGGAAGTTTCAGCATGGGCGTGGCGACGATTGCCAAGAGGATTGCGAGCCCGAAGATGGCTCTCTTGGACAAGAAGCTCCTCTGCATAACATAGATCCAGATCAGATTGAGAAAGAGAATATAGGCCTTAGAGCAAGCAAGGCAGCATATTACTGTCAATCTGCATGCAAAGAGATGCAGACATTCTCTAAGAGCAAGCAAGGCAGCATATTACTATCAACCTGCATGCAAAGAGATGTAAAGAAACATACGGTCAATCTTTCCCTCCAGACTGTAGGAGCAGTTTCTCACGGAGTGTCCTCCCTAGAGAAGAAATCCCGTTCGTGCTTAGAGAGGAGGATGTGAAGGTCACAGACTACAACAAGCGTGGTGTTCTCTGGGATAAGCAGTGCTGCTAGGTAATCATGAATCCCATCGGTGTCGCACGTGTCTGCCCCTCGGGTCACATAGTCGCGGTGCGCCTATGAAGGAGACAATTGCAGAGCTTAGATCTACACAACTCAGCAGCGCAGATGGCAGCGTTGAAGCGACTTTCAGATGTTCATCCTGCTCATTGAACTACAAATTCCTGGAAAGTTCATCCATCTTGCTTACATCTGAGCTGCTGCAGACATGCCTACCTTCATGCAAGACGAAGCGAGTGCTTCTGGGGGTACTCCAAGGAAGGCGGCAGCATCATGAAGAAGCCCCGCCACTTCTGAGTTGCGCAAAGAATCAACGACCTGGGGGTTTGGATCAATGTGTCAACCACCACATAGCAGATGGGTGACATAGTTCTCAAACAAGTGGATACATACCAATGTTTTCAGCCCTTGCAGCATGATGGTGTCCAATCTACACCTCCCATTCTGATTCTTACCTGCAGCTTCTGTTCCTGAATCTTTGTCAGCTCCTCATCCCAGAAGGACTCTGCCTGAGGGGAAAAGCACAAACATGAAGGTGTCAGTTATCTCAAGCTGATCCGCCACTTGCAACATGAGGCTTGCATAGCTTGCCAGTGTCAGTATCCCTAGATAGATCAACTCTGAATCCTAAACGCTACACTTCTGAGGTCGACCATCCTCGCAGGATTTAGCTGACCACTTTGTCACGAGGTGCAATGAACTCACTTGAGAGCTGGGTCCCGATGTGCTGCAGCAGGTCACAGGTCTCTTCTGCGCTTCGCTCGTACTCCTCTCTTAAGAGTAACTGCACACGGGATTGTTGCAACCTGATCAAACCTCACCAGCGCTTTCTTCAGCAATACCTTGACAAGCATCAACGGGCACTCAACTCAGGAAAACGCAAGGCATCGAGACTCGTCTGTCAACCACCTCCCCAACAAAAAGGCGCCTTGTAAGTTGGAAAAAGGCTCCTGAATGGATACTCTTCGAGCAGAGGAAAAGAAACTGCTTCTCCAATTTGCCAGCATTAGCGGGGTTCCATACGTCTGAGTAGCGATGTGAGGTTTGGCCGTTCCGCCGCCTGTCACCGATGTCCTGGGGAAGAGTGGAGGACTCTGAGACATTCCTGCTCTTGACTTCAAAGAACCTCTCCTGCAAAAGGCTGCTCCAGAATTTGTGCTCTTGCCAAAGAGGCATGACCTAGAAGCCATCTTCTCGAGTGTCCAGCGCTGATCTACAGGTTGGTGTGTTCTACCGTCTGTTCCTCTCTACCAGCAGACTACAATTCTGCGGGAGGAAAGGATGTGAGTTTGGGGTCTGCTATTGCCATTTCAGCTTGTGCCTTCCCGTCTGGCATGCACAGGCGGCCATTGAGGAACGGAGGCCTAAGCTGGACGATGCTACAAATCAGATACTAATACTACTCTCAATTCTAAGCATCTGTCTGTCTTGCGACCTAGAGAGACCTGGTTGATGATAAGGAATGCTTCTCCCAAGACAGAAGGTCTGAGGAATGCTGGACAATCTCCTCTGCAGCAATAACTCAAAGGAGGCCTCCCCTTTCCTCAAGTGTCATCACGTTCAGCAGGGTAGAAGCAAGCAGCTAGAGCAGAGGCAAAGGCTACATCAAACTTCAAAGCGCACACCGTCGTCGGTCAGCAAGCCAAGGGGAGTTCGGCACAAACTTCTGGCCGATTACGGGGGGACATGTCAGCCCCCCCACTGGCCCAAATGGTTGCATTTAGACCGATCGGTCGAAAGGCGGTCGACACGCCGGGGCTCTAGCCAATGACGGGTCTGTCATCTCCCGACCTCAGGAGATCCGACCTATGCCATCCCGGTGAATAGCAGATGCCATTTCTCCCCTACACGTTCCTGCGATGCCATATAATATCCTAGGTAGTCTGCCGGGAGTCTGCCTGATATAGAGGTTTGAGACCTCGCGGTGAGATTGCCAATTTTCACCTGACCAGTTGGACCAACACCAATTTACGTCGATATTGGGCGGCGAGACAGGCCCGCGCTCTGATGACGTCAGCAATGAGCGACCGCAGAAAGTTGGTGCCAGACCTTGGACACTTGGACATGGCGGCGAGACAGGCCCGCGCCCTGATGACGTCACCAATGAGCGACCGCAAATATCTTCTGGAGTTTCCATTTGATGATGTTATCAACAAATGTGTTAGATCGAAAGTTTTGCTTGACGTCAGCAAATAGCGACCGCAAAAAGTTGGTGCCAGACCTTGGACACTTGGACAATTTCTGCACTCAACCAGGCACCGGCACATGCGACGAGAAAGATCGCTTGCAAGCATGCGTTGATGCACGGTCGATACACGGTCGATATCAATGCATGTAGCCACGGTCACAAGGCTATGTTCGCAGTGGCTCGAGCGTCTCTAGTTTGTATCTTGCGATACGTATCGCATGTGCGCCTTGGAGTTCTTAAACCTGCGCTCAAGATGCTCCTCAATCCATCTCGTTCGGGATTCTTCTAGCTCTCGATTTGCGCGCTCTAGTCCCGCTTTGTATCCTTCAAACCCCTGAAGATATTTGCGGTACTCATTGATGAATGCGCATTCTTCATTCATCCATGCCCTCCACGGCATGCCGCCAGACTTTTTGGCGATGAGGCCGGGTTTAAACCGCCTGTCGTTCAAAGGGCCAAAGAGCTCCGTAGCGTAGTGAGCCATTGTCTCATCTCGGTTTAAGCCGCCAACCGTGGAGCACGGAAAATGCTCGACGAATCGTTGGAGGGTCTTTGCTCTCGCCTCCTAGTGCAGAAAAGAAAATGATGATGCTGCAGTCGGGATGCGAGATACGTGCATCCTTGACTTGGCAACCAAAAAGATTGCCAGATGTATGCATATTAATGAAAGTGTGCACGCCGTTGGTGAATGGAACGTCGCTGCTTATCTGCTCGGCCCCTTGCTGTGCACAATTGATGCTGCAGTCAATGAGAATGGATGTACACGGATCGTTTTCCAATTTTCCAAAAAATTGAGTGATGCACAATAATTACTAGAAATGTACACGAATCTCTGTCCAATCTGTCCAAAATATTGAGTGGTGTACATCAATTACTAGAGAAGTATACGAATCTCTGTCCAATCTGTCCAAAATACTGAATGATGTACATCAATCAACAAACATGTACACGAATTTCTGTCCAAAGAGGAACATTGTTATGCCTATACAAAAATCGGTTGACTTGATGCTAGTATCACCCTCCGTTGCTAGGTATGACTTGCCCGTACCTCGACCTTGTCAGGGTGGAAGTGCAGCGACCGAGTCTTGTGGTGTAATACAATCTCGCCGCGATCGAACATCTCTCAAGCTTTGCTCGGAAGAAGCTCGGCATCCGCGATGAGCCACGACAGGGGCGATCGCACGTACTCTGGTGCCTTTGGCGTGGGTGGAGCGGAGAGGGCGTTGCGAGCCATGATGCGGTACCTCGCCATATGCCATGACCTAAAGACAGCGCGTTCTCCATCAAGAGTGCGTCGATACTTCGAAACCGCAGCGGTGTTACTCCGGCGCTTCAGCTGACGAGAAGCTTTCGGCTCCAAGCCGCGATATTTCGAGGGCGCACGATCGCTCGGAAACTTATAAGGCTCGCACCCCGGCTCGCACCCCATCCTCTTTGGATGACCTTCCAAGGCTTGCTTCGACATGAAGTTCTTGCCGCAAATCTCAGATCCATCTTCACAGTGCCGTTCAAGGCAAATGAAGCGTCCTCCGTCCCGCTTCCAAAGCTGTTACGAAGCCGTGATTGTTGATGCTGCGGCAACATGCGGTGGACTAACGGCATACATGATGAACGTTCAAATCGAGAATGATCGTAAAGAGGGTGCTCGACGAGCTCCAAACCGACTCAGCAGCAGTGACGTTCCTACATTAAACAACAAGGGCGCCTTTAAATAGATGACGTTCATGGAATGCAATTGTAAGTCTAGATCAAGAGAACAATAGGGTGATGCATGATTGCAGACTCCTCCATTGCTTTATAAAGCTCCACGGCCACGACGGCCTCTGCCTTGGGTTGATGAAATGAAACATTGTTTGGCAACTCCACATGCTTGCGATGGGATCGAGAACTCTGCTAGTCAATGGCATCTTGTCCACGAAAGGGACCGTCCGGATGGCGTGCCGCCATCTGCGATCTGCGATTGAAAATGCATACTATGATGCATATCATATGCGCATGAAAGTAAAGCGGCCAACAGCCCTGCCAGATCGGTCCAGATAAAAAGCGGACGCATTACGACATGGTACATGATATGCTTTGGTTTGACTTTAAGAAGGAGACGAGACGATATGTCGATCTGTTCCTCGATTTCCCAAGCCGTCACGATTCACCCTGCGTCCAGATGTCCAAGGTTTGTGATCAACTTTTCGTGGTCGTCCATCGCTGACGTCATCAATGCCTGAGCCTCTCTCGGCGTGTCCAAGTGTCCAAGGTACGTGATCAACTTTTTGTGGTCGTCCATCGCTGACGTCATCGATGCGTGGGCCGCTCTCGGCGTGTCCAAGTGTCCAAGGTCCGTGA